CATTTTTTTAAACCAACTGATTTTAAAAAGGCATTAAAGAAATACGTTATGAAAGTAGAAGTTGTAAGTTTGAATACTTAAAAGTTAAGTACTAAAATGAGCATGGAAGTATTGCACTGTTCTTCTGTATATTATATAACTTGTTCACTATTTGATGCATCAGTGTTTAAACTGGGTTTTACTCTTTGAGTTGATGTGAACATTTGTTTCAATAAAGACTATGAACTATAAAAATAACTGTAACAGTGGATTTCTGAATACATGTAAATGTTTTACGTGTAAAATGAGCTGAAGCTGTAGTACAGGTACTTCAAATTTGTACTCAAAGACACCAACAGGAGTGAATGTACAGTACTTTGTTGAATTCCACCTCTGAGCAGCAGTAGAGCAGCGAACTTTCTCACTTCAACCATTTCACTTCCCTTTTTTTTTTATATTGACTGAGTCGCTGCTGTCGCTGTGAAGCAGGACGGATCTTCACCTCCGCTCTTCACCTCCGCTCTTCACCTCTCCATCATCTTCATCATCTTATCACCACAGGACCAGTGCTCTGCCTGTCAATGGTGAGACCTTTCTGTGTCCTCACTCAGACAGACGGTGGAGAAGTTGGATTTCTGACTCAGTGTTTGTGTTGGAAACTTGAAACGCAGTGAATTGTCCTCTGTTCTCTCGGTTCCATCAACGGTCGTTGTTTTATCTTAAATGTGAATTCACGGTGTCTTGATTTCAACATTGTCTCGCATGTGTAGATACTGGTTAGGTCTTTAAGTGGACAGTTGGATGGACTGAGTCTGATGCAGTAATGTGATCTTGTGTGAGTTGCTGGGATTCACAGTCACAAGGAAAAACATGTGGTGATGTTAATGTTGCTGTTGTTGATATGATCTGAGTCGACTGTGTATTTGTACAACCTAATGTTAGTGAATGGGAGCATTGCATTATATTTATATTACATTTACAAAACATTACTTTCCCATTTACATTTACATCACACTTACATAACATTACATTACACACAGATACATTCAATTACATCACATTACTTTTTTTATCTGAGAAAATTGTTTTATTTGATTTTGACTAAATTTGCATGGAAATCTGTAATCTGTGTGTTCAGGCCCTCCAGTGGCTGAGCTTCAGCACTGCAGTGTTGCTGCTGTTGGTGCACGTCGCCCCGGCCCTCACACAGAGTCCCTGCAGCACGGGACCCCCAGGGATCCCTGGGATACCTGGAATTCATGGGCCCAACGGCAGAGACGGTCCCAAAGGAGAGAGGGGAGATCCAGGTTCAGAGTTCAAACACTCAAACATCAAATACATTTCACACGTTCTTTTTTGTCAAGTCGGCGACATTTCTTATTTCAGAGAGTAAAATCAGATTCAAATCAAAGTGACTAAACTCATGAATCGACTTTGAACAAATCTCTCAACTCAAGTTAATTTAACTCAAGTTTGAAGCAGCAGTGAATTTTCATTTTTCATGTTGAAGCTCAGGTGATATTTGGTGGAAGGATCGAGCACATGGATCAACTAAAATGTGATTAAATAATAACAATTTTCTCATTAATCATTGCAGTCACTTCAATTTAAACGAAAATGTGGTGCACATACAAACCACAACTCTGTGTATTTAGCTGTGGCTCTGAGAAAAACACATGCAAATAACAAATTCAGAACAATTCAGAACAATATTTGGAGGATTTTACTATAGGAAAGGATAATTGCAGCATCTTCTTTCTGAATATTTGGTCAAAGTGATAAAGATTTGATTTGATTTTTCTGTTCTGTTTAGTTTCAATGAGATATCTTGATTTCCTTTCATGAAATTAACATTTTGAGTTTTATTATAATTCTTTTGAGTAGATCACAATATAGACTTTCAATTTACAGCGAAAATAAAACACTTATCTTTAATCTTGGTGTCAGTTCATACTCAAACATTCCTGCTTTTCTATGAGCAGGTGAGTCCAGCCTGCATCTCATGGGTCTGAAGGGGGCACCAGGTCTTAACGGCCCCCCGGGTCGGCCTGGGCTGAAGGGGGATATGGGTATGCCGGGCCCCCCTGGGTTTCCAGGTGCCCTGGGGCTGAAAGGAGAACCCTTCAGCGCCTCCGGCCAAGAGAAACCCTTCTTCTCCAGAAAACGAAGCAGGCTTGAATCACAAGAGCTCGACACGGCCATCACCTTCACCAGGTCAGAGAAGGTCTGAAGTCACAGGAGAACAGGGTGATGTTTAATGGGGAGTTTGAGCAGCAAGACAAAGGCTTCAGAGGTTCAATGTGTAAATAAAAGTTATTTTTGCAGACAGAGGTCACAGAAAACAAAAAATCTGGGGTTTTTTGTCTGTTCCCAGCAGTGGATATGATACCCATGATGCCTTGCTTCCTAAACCTGAAGACCGGCCTCTGTCAGTAAATAAAAAGTAAAATACCTGTGTCAACTTCCCACAGTGAGATTACGTCAGAAGTGGATCAAGAGCTTTACGGACAATCTCTGACTGACGGGAGTTTCACATGCGTCATCGGAGGAATCTATTTCTTCAGTTACCACATATCAGCGAAGAGTCGAGTGAGTCCAACTCTGTTTCCTGATTCTATATTTAATATTTCTAATCTATAATAGACTAGTTTACTGAATCTTTAACTTCCCTGCACGGGATGAATATCACACATAAGATATGTTGCATTAGATGAAACTACACCACAGTTTATATATGGAACAGCACCAATATTAAATAATACTAATATTAATAATAATATTAACGGCTCAACACTTACAGAGAACCATTATGTATAATAAGAACTTCTGCTTTGGATAAAGAACATTTCTATAAATGTTATACAGGAACACCTCTGTTTTATTTTTATTCCAGTGAATCACATTCTCCTCCACAAAAACCTGATATTTTACAAATAAACTGTAAACTAATTAAATAATTAAAGTACACATTCATTAATTCCTGCAGCAGCAAAACTTCAAAAAGTACACAAATGTGATACCTTCTTCTTTTCTGTACCTCTTCACTTAAACTCAATAAAAATAATACATTTAATTTCACAGCACCCGAGGACAATAACTAAACATAAACCAAACTTTAGAATCAATGCAACATATGTACGACGGATGAGACTGACTCAGTTCCGGTGGTTTCTGCTGCTCCTCACTTTACGTGTGTTGATGCTCCAGGTTTGTCTGAAGCTGATGAAGGACTCTGCCGTTCACTTGATGATGTGCGACATGTCTGAAGGTTTCCTGGTCACCTCCGGCTCTGCGGTCCTGGAGCTGAACGCCGGAGACAAGGTCTCCCTCCAGGCGACCAGGTTCAACAGCCTGACGTCCCAGACCAGCACCAGTCACACCTTCACCGGCTTCCTCGTCTTCCCCACGGCCTGAAGATCCACGGTCACAGCGAATAAAAGACTTTCAGTGACGTGTGCAGCAGAGAAATCAAGCGTGTGTTGCATGTTTTAACTAAATACACTTATTATGAAGTAGAATCATTTCAATTACTGGTTTGAGTTTAGTGGAAGGATTGGACAACCGATGAGTGATGGGATTTTCTTACAGTTTTTAAATTTAAAATATGGCTCATGTGTAATCCACAACTCTCGGGGAGAAAAACACAAAAAGTAAATTCAGAACAGTTAGAAACGATGTGTTTTCATATTCTGGGGGTTTTATAAAAACGATTTTCAGTGTATTTTGTCGCTTTATATGTTTTGTTAAACCGATAAAGAAACTTTTCTTCATTTGACTTTTTCTTTTGTTCGATGTAGTTTAGGTTTGAGCCTGATGCGAATTTAAAATGACAATATTTTTTCATTTAATACATTAACATGAGGATCTTCCATCACAATAAAATTCACAACTAAAATAAAACACTTCTCTTTAATCTTAGCATCTTTTCTAACTCAAACAACTGCTGGGCTTTTTCCAAAAACACAACACTGTGTTGACTTTTGCTGGATTGTGCAGAAGCATTTCATCAGACTTCCTCACGTTCCTCGTGTGACTCATCTGTTCTAAAAGAAAAACAAGATTTACAAAGAGTAAAAGTAAAGTCTGAAAGATTAACTCACATATTCTTGTTGATTGATTTTCCTGTTTTTATTCGCCTTAACTACAAACCGCTGCAGGAGGAGCCTTATCATTTGAAGGATTGAAAAAAAAAAAAGAGGAGAGAATATTACACATTGATAAATATTAAATTAATTCATCAGACATCAACATGGAGGAGTTCTCATGATTACAAATGAATCATTTATGTTTGTGGTGTGTAACGTTTCCTCTGTCGGGAAGCACTGAGGTAACAGGTGTGAGGGGTTGAACCTCCCTGACCGATACCAGCTCATGAATTACTCATCCCTCGGCCTCCGGTTACCAGACGTTCGACCCGACACAGGAGGCAGAGGATTCCTCCATGGATTCATCTGCGGCTTATTCAACTGAACAGGAAGTCAGGATCCAATCAGTCAAACGCAAAGTAAAAATCATAGAAGGGGAAATTTAAAACCCTCAGTTGGACGCATGTGCTCTAAATGTGCAACTTTTGTTCAGTGTGACATCATGATGACATCATCCAGAGAGACATTTAAAAAAAAAAAAAAGATGATGTTACTTATCGCACGATATTGAATTATTATTTGAATCATTTTCTGATTGTCGCGCTTTTATTTGTGGAAGATATTTTGGAAAATGAGTCGTTGTAAGAAAGAGGAAAGTTAATGAAGAAAGTTTTGACTTTGATCAGGTTTAAAAGTGAGTCATCTCGAGATAAACTTCTGAGTAACATTCCAACCGAGTTTGGTGAAAATCTGTTCACGCATTGTTGATTTATTTTCTACACACACGGTATTTAAATATAAAGAAAAGTACAATTCATACAATTTAGATGAACCGAACCAGTGATAACATCGTGAGGATTATTCTACATCAATAGTTCACTTTCAGCTAAATCTTACACACTGGACCTTTAAGTGATAAATCAAATCCCGTTAGCTGCTGTAAACCGTGACTGCACAGCGACCTCTAGTGGGCGAGCTTCAGCCCAGCGTGTCGGTGGCTGACGAGCTGCCGAACACGCCGTTCCTGGTGAAGAAGGAGTTTCTCACCACAGACAACCTGGCACAGGAGGGAGTCCTGTAATCCAGAGCGTAGTCACCTGGAGACAAGAAGACACAGTTAATATGGACAATTAAAAATCTGATGAAAAAAAGTGGTTTCATGAGAGAAATGAAGGTTTGAGGGACTTTTAATGGGACTGTTGGGTCTTGGTGGAGTTACGAGCTCTACTGTGACATCAGGTTTGTGTTTCTCCCTCCATCTTACCCAGCCTCCATCCGTACTCCCAGGACGAGAGCAGAGGAAAGTCAAACTTCTCCTCGGGTCTCCTCAGGCCTCGTCTCTGCAGGTACAGTCTCCGGCCTCTCCCCTGCACAGACAGTTCACTTGAAATCACTTTTTAAAGATTTTTTTTGGCATAAACTTTAGGAATACTGACCAAACCAAGTTATAAAAGGAGTCTTTCATGTTTGTTAAAGTACATTTTAAGATTTGGAAACAAGGAGAATCTTTGCACAGACACATTTTAGTTTTACCAGTTGAAGAAACGTTCGTCTGATTCAAAGCCTGTCGTTACAGTTTGGATTTGAAGCCGTTAATAAATCAACCAAACTATTTTTTACGTTATTCTCCTGGGAAGCAACAGTGGAGGAGACTTTTTACAGCAGATGTGTTTCATACGTGGTGAGAGGAGTCCTGATAAAGAGCCTGTGAGGTCTGTGGAGAAACCGGCCTCATGGTGGGAGCCACACTGAGCCGACCGTCCACAGGAGGAGCAGGAGCAGGAGGAGGAGGAGGAAGGTCGCTCTGCCTCTTCTTGGGTGCACTGGTAACAGGAGGCAGGGCAGCCCTGCTGGGTGGAGCATTAACATGAGATTCATTTTATGCATCATCTTAATAATTGTTGATGTGATAGAGACATTTTTCGGTGAATAAAATATTTATTATTATTTATATAGTGATGAAATCTTGAGTCTTTGCAGAATCATATTCCAGAATCAGTTTCTAATCCTTCACTGGTTTAACTCTGGTTTCTCATTTACCATTTCATTATTTCATCTGTATCATTTTTCACATGTTCTTTGGTTCCACAACATTTTCCTCAGTATTTGTGTTCCATTGTTTGCATGAAGGATTTTGAGCCTTTTGCTTCTGTTTCCCTGCTCTCGTGCTGCTGACTGGCTCATGACTCAGCAGTTTAAATGCTCTGGTGTTATCTGAGCAGCAGGTTGAATGTGCAGCGGCTCACCGGGGCTCAGCCGACAGAGCAGGCGGCTGTGAGGCCTCCGTGCCGATGGGCTGGTCGCTGCAGCGGGACGGGTAGACGGCGGCGTAGCGGCTCTTCCAGGCCAAACGAGTCAACGTCTCCTTCTGAATCTGCTCCCTGTAGCAGTTCTGACTCTGAGTCGTCAACAAGCTGCCACGCATCTCCTGCCAGAGACTTTCACTCAGTATCTAACACAGTGAACACCATCTTTAAAAAAAGAGTCAGTCCTGGTGTTCACGTCTGTCCTGACAAATCCAGTCATCACCTGATGTTACAACACATCCTGAATGTCTCCGGGACCACAACCTAATATTTATTTATCTATATAACATATGTAGTTGTTACCAATATTTCAAATACAATGGTAAAATATTCATGTGTCATTTACATCTTCACCACATCTGATCGTGTTTGTGTCTAATTTGAAACATCTTGATGAAAAAACTTTTCTCAATTTCACTCAATGAAGATTATGAAGGTAGAATAAATACAAATATAATTTCATGACCGAAAGAGAAAAATAAAAAAAACTCAAAAGGCATTTAAATTTGTTTTTAAAAATGAAGCTATAGCTGCAAACTGTTTTAAACATTACAGTAGAGGTGCTGATAGTAGATAATTCAACATAAATCTTATTTTACCTTTGTTGTGCCTGAAGAGAAGCTGTGCAGGTTCAGATTCCAACTGTGGAAGTGATCAGATAACACACGGCAACACAGGGAAACATGACACGCACACACACAGAGGCTCGCTCACACACACACACACACACACACACNACACACACACACACACACACACACACACACACACACACCATTTTAACATTACTAACTTTATTTTAAAACACAAATTCAAATATAAGTACCTTTGTGCCAAACCCTTATTGTTTACAGCGAGAACGGAAAGAAGAAATAACTTTTACAATTCAGTCTTGCAATCATTCAAATTTAAGCATTTTACAGATCACATGTGAGAATAAATATCACTTCAACACAAAGGATAAAAAGATCTGGTCACGATTATTTTCTGACTGAATGTTCAGATTCTCACTGAAGAGAGAAAACAGGTTTCACTGCAGTAACTGAACTGAGACCCAGGAAATGAGAGACAGAAGTCGTTCATCTGATTTCCACTTTTATTTTAATTATCAAATGTACATCATCTCTAGACTTTAGTTTAACGTTAAAACACCTTTTCCCCAAAATACAAAATGATTTTTTTCTTTCCCCACATACAAAAAAAAAAAAAAAAAGTATGAAAAGTAGCAGTGACAAGGCGACGACAGCCCGGTCAGACACGGGAACAGATCCATCCCCGTTCACACAAATGATTCTCACACAAACCCAGATCTGACCTTTCACTCCGCAGCTCAGATCTGAATCTTAAACGAGTGTTTAAGTTTGTTTCCTGCTCGAGTTTGAAACCAGCCTCACAGTTAAACGTCAGATCTGTGAAAAATAAATGCAGCTGAAGGAACAACAGAGCAGCGATGACCCTCGTAGTTAAGTAGTGTGTTGGTCAGTGCAGGAAACAGTAGCGTCGTTGATTTGTTACAAACTAATGGGATTTTTTTTTAAGAGGTTCAAGAGAAAGAAATCAGCAGACGTCAGTAGTCACGTGCAGTTTGGCGTTTCGTGAAAGAGTGAATCCGGTTTGTCAATATTCTCTTTTTAAACAAACTTAAACGATAAAGCAAACACAGAGAAATCCAGTTATTCAGTTGAGATGTTTTTTTTTGTTTGTTTCATTCTCCGCACTTTTATTTTGGTTATTACTGGCTTCTCCTCGTGGCACCAGGTTGGATCAGAGAAACTTCGTTTGGCTCCTTTATTCCTAATCAGTAACATTTAAAAATAAAAGTTTGGCTCCACTTTTCCAAAACCGAGCTGTTGCGTGCCGACATTCTCACGAACTAACTTCTTCAGTAAAACTGCAAACTTTAATTTACCAAGCGAGTTTTAAAAAAACTCCTCAAGTGCAAGATTTGTGAATTAATAATTTCAGGGCAGCAAAAATCTGATGATATCTCCTCCTCTAATCAGGTGATGTCATCCCTCGGTTTTCCCCTCAGACCGTCTCAATTCACTGACGTGTTAATTTTCTGTCCCCTTCAACTTTAAGGGTTTTTAAAAACATGAAGGTCGAGTCACTTTTCAACATCTACAGTAAATCATGTCGGGGCAGAACCTCCTTAAAGCATCCGATTTGAACTGAAAAAGCTTTGTTAAGCAACTTGCTCATTGCAGCTGATGTGTCCACTTCAACTCAAACAGGGATGCAAAGCGGGTTTCGTGGTGCATCATGGGACGACGACGTGGAAGGGGGAGCCCGGGATGTGGTCGTCTCCCCACTTGACCACCAGGACGTAATTGCCCCGCTCCCTCAGCAGGTAGCCGACGTTGTACTGCAGGTTGCCCAAGTGTTTGACCAGCACCTCCTCACAGGGAACCTGAGGACCGTGCACGCCCACCAGCAGCATGTTCTTACCTGAGGACGGAGACAGACGAAGTCAGACAAGTCGTTTCTTATCAAATCCAACAAGAGAGTTATGTTTTCATCTAAGTTTTCCAGGTTTTGCGGAGCAGGACCCAACATGAACACATGTTGCTGTGGATTCAGATCAGGTCCAGGTTTTTCTTTAACTGTCAGATCCGACTTTTATCCACATTTTCATTGGTTCTCAGAGAAAATTCATGGATCTTGATGATAAAAATGTTCAAGTGACTGATATTTATATCAAATTGGTGCAGATCTTAATTAAAAATCTGGATCTAGTGAATTTAAATGAGGTCTCATACTGAACTGAGTACTGAGCGATCAAAGTGTTGATTTTGTTTCCTCGTCAACACCCAGAGATTTCAGAATTTATGAGACGATTACGGTGAACGTGTTTTGAGTCGTTAACGTTTGATCCCCGCGGGTCAACGGTGAGATCTGGCTGCAGACGTCCTTACCGGCCTTGCTGCAGTCGACAGAGAAGCTGCTCCTCTGGCCCACGAAGGCCTTGCTGAGGCCGGAGCCTCGGCTCAGCACCTTGCTGGCGTCCGAGTCGCTCGGCCTGGGCATGATGCTCTGGGCGAGGCTGCTGCTGCTGGACGCCCGCACGGCCGGATCCACCGTCAGGGTCGACGTCTCGCTGGCGTTGGTCACCGTCACCAACCGTGGACCTGAGAGGGAGCGGAGGAGTTGAGATTGAGACTTCTCTCAGTAAAGAATGAAACACAAGAGTGTGACGTTCCTCACTGATCCGTTAGGGACCCACTGACTCGTGGAGCAGCTTCCTTACCTGAGACTTTAGCCTTGAAGGGACTTCCAGCGATGTGGTTGGGTCCTCCATATTTGATGCTGATCAGGTAGTTCCCAGGAGCCATGGGGGTGTACTGCACCTTGTAGCCCTCTGGAACCTCCTGACAGTCCATCTTCACTTTGGAGGGACCCTCGATGGTCACGGCCAAGGCCCCGGGGCCCGCCTTAGTGTTGTTGATGATGAACTCTGACTGGGTACCTGCAACATTACAGACACTCCCACAATTTCTGTCTTACAAACTAAAAATGTCCACCAGTTACAAGTGAAGAGGTCAGGGGTCACACAGGTGAACAGACGGGTCACCCACCTGTCGTGCCTCTCTCCAGTCCAGCTCCGTACGCCGTGACCAGACTCGGCTCTCCCGTCTGTCCTGGTTCCCCGACTCGGACCTGGAAAGGACTTCCCGGGATGTGGGAGCCGTTAAACTTGACGTCGATGGTGTGGACGCCGTTCTCCCTGGGGATGAACCGGATCGCATACTTGTCTGGAGGAGAGGGCGGAGGGATCCGTTACCAACAGGCCCCAACACATCTCGGCGAGTTTGTTTGTGAATAGCATCAGGAACTTAACCAGCAACTTTCCCGGCCTCAAGTTTCCACATTTCACCCGTGAACACAAACCTTTCTCCAGCTCGGTGACGGCACACTCCTCCAGAGCACCAGAGGGGCTGTGGACCTTGGCCTCCATCTTCCCCTGCGCTCCATTCAGACGCACCGCAAAGGATGCTGGGTGATTCACCTTCAGGCCAGACTCCTACAGAGGTCGGACGCACACACACAGTCAGTGGACAGGGACGGACGTTGGAGTAGGGAGGAAGATAAATAAAGTAACACCTCAAAACACAGACTTGTATACAAATACTTGCAGTAGTGAGTTGTTTCTAGTTCTTGTTTCTCTTTTTCTACCACGTCTCTACTGTTTTCTACTCTTACCTGAGCTCCTGGTGCAGCTCCAGCAGACAGAGGCAGGCCGCCACAATATTAAAAAGCAGTGAGACAAACTGAGTGTACGAAGTAGTACAGTCTGAGAGGAAGTACTCAGTGAATATGATAAAGTTAGTATTGCTGGTTACATATATTTTTTCATTAGGGCTGTTTAAATTAGATTTTAAAAGAATTGTGACCAAGATATTAACGGATTTACAGAGAGGGACATTTTTATAATG